TTACAAATCTGCTTCATTTTTATGTAATACAGTTTTTTTGAGTGGCTTTGCTGGTTTTCTAACGTCTTTTACATTTTTGGCTTACAGTATATTGATTGTTTCATCTTTTTTGGTTGATTTTTTTAATGTAAGTACTTTTCTTTGTTCTTTTATGGGTTATATCTTAATATGAAATTTTTCACTGTATATAATTCCACTTCTCACCTTTTTCAGCACAAATGTGACTTTTACCCTCAGTGTTTGTCAAGGCTCATAACTTTCCTCAATCCCCTCCACTTTCTCCAAAGCAAGTTAAGAATACAGAGTAAAAACAAGAACGTTAGAAGAAATAAGATAAATAAATAAATAAATAACCAATTAGTGGCTGCAGTGCTGTGTTGAACATGTACGTGTCTCGCAGAGAGCAAAACGTCAAGCTACGTTTGGCCTGAGGCAATCTGCTTAGCAATATGTTCCTCTGTTGTTGTTGTTGTTGTTGTTGTCGTCGTCCCCCCCCCACACACACACACACACACACTCCTCCCATCTCCATGGCTGCAAATAAAAGAGATTAATCAACCAACCCGTCGCCCTGTCCTCAAGGCCTGCCTGTTTTTGCACTTTGTTTAGCCGACAATTATCCTTTCAACAGCAAGATTTGCTACAAACCAGGCTGGAATCTGGTTGAACTAATCCTGGATGTCTCTTTCTTTAATGTGGGAATAGCAAACAGGAGCTCAGACATATGATCGCCGGATTTATTTACATGTTTTGAAATTGTATTATTTAGCTGAATTCTACACTGTAGGGAAAATGTACTAAAAGCCAGCATGGAGGTAAAATGCGGAATAGATTTCAGTGAGTAGACTTCCAAATAATGTTTGCATGGACAAAAAGTTATAATATAATGGAACCAAGGTATAGTATTGTATAGCAAATACAATCATTTCACCCTAGATTGAACTTCACAACATATGTTTCCACAACATTTTCCCACGAGGTTAAACTGCTGCAGAGCTTTTATCTGTTTCACACCCCAGATGCCCTCGACCGATGACTAATTGCACCTGTGTCCAGTTTTTACAGACTTTTTATTATTTATTTTGTAGTTTGTGTGTTTTTTATAATCACTCAGAGGGGTTTTCTCTCTTTGAGTGCAGTTTGATGGAAGGGGGACACCTTCGGCTCCATCCAGCTGCTCCACAAACAAATCGTGTCTGAGCAGTCTGACAGGACTTGGACTATAATTTATACACATTAATGCTTTTAGCATCTGTCTTTGCGGGGACTTTTAAAAGCTGAAACCTCCTTTATATCTGCACCTGCAGCTTTATGTGACACAACTACTGGTATCTCATATAGCAGAGAAAATACACACATGCACACAGTGATTCCCACAGTGAAAAGTGGTCTAATACAAAAATTCCAGATGGATCACTGTATCTATAAAACCTTATTTATGCTAAATCTATTAGATTTATATCTAATCAAAATTATGTGTGATTATTCAAATCCATTTTCTGACAGATTAACTACAGCTAATCTGATAAAAAGGTTCTCGGGTCACCGTGGCTCGCCTACATTAGCGGGGCTGAAGACGCCAGCCATTTCAATCCCCACTGCCCTGCCGGTCCACTGAGACCTCCAGCACAAAACAGAAACTGCAGAGTCGTTCACTTCCCACTGTATTAGCAAATTATTTTGGGCATCAGGGTTAAAAAATAAATAAATAAATAAATAAATAAATAAAATGCCACAAGCCAAATTCTGTGACATCTGTCAGCTGTAAAGATCAGTGTTACAACAAGCTGACCTATTTCCTTTTAAAGCCACATTACTAGGGACTTCAGCTGTCAGAAACCAAACTCAGTCAGAAGGTGACAGGAGCATATTTCTGTTAAACTGCAGATCACAATTTGGCACAAATAACCATAGTTTCATAAAGCGGAAGGAATGGAGCCTCTCTAACCAACCAGAATGAGAAATGACTGTAGAGTCCCAATTATAAAGTTTAAAGTGTTTTAATTAGCAAATGAGCAGCTTTGAAAATGAAAACTAGCTAAAGGAGTTGGGATGAACTCGGGACAGACTGCAATAAGCAAAGTTCAATCATTAACACCAAGAGTGCACAAATAAGTGAAGGGCCATGTGTTTTTTCTAATTCATGCTACAATACCGCATCGATTGGTTGATCGAACTGCTAAATATGAGCTACATTTAAATTTAAAATCAATGGAGGAAGCAGTGTAGAGCTGTGTATTAGCATTAATACTAATGATATTAGTATGGGCCTAATGTGAGGCGCAAGATTTCAAAAAGATCCCACCAGGTTACCTCTTAGGTGAGGTGTTTCGGGAATATCTTTCAAGCCCGGACAGATCCAGGACACCTCAAAATACGGCTTAGAAAAGCTTCAATGTCACCCAGAAGCGAGGTCTGGTCTCTGTCCAGTGAACCAGAATAAGTTGCAGAAAATGGATGCATAGGTTTGAAACTGAACTACCAAGTTTCCAGTCCATTCTAACTCCTGAAAAACCCAAACATTGCTGTTTTGCTAAATGTGCCCCGTGTTCTTTGGGATGATTTTAGAAATGCCAGTCCATCACATGCAGATGCTTCTTCACATTTAAATACACTGGGCACTGTTTAGCATCATCTTTCAACAAGTAGGTTTACTGTAAATTGTGAATTGCTGCTTTCCTAAAGCTAACCAATGAGCGAAAGCAAAAGTAAAGCCAGACAAAGAGAGTCCCCTGGCTAACAAAACAGTCATTCTGTCTCCCCACAGACCTCCTCCTGCTGCACCATGACACCAATGCCCACAGACACCTTGTGAAAAAGGCAACACTCAATACTCTGGTGGCCTAAGCTCTGAACTAAAATACTTCTTTTTCCAACTCTAAAGAAGTTTAATTAAAAAAAGAAAATCGTCTTTGCAGTTTGGAAGGTGACAAGTGATGGTATCCTGCTGCCTGGGTGTTTAAAAAAAAACATGGGTGTCAAAAAATGCAAATATAAACAATAATTAAATCTAATTTGCAGTAAATGTAAACCTGCTTTAAAGTGTCAGCAAGTGTTGCTTAACCCCCAGGTTTTAACGCATTATTTGCAGCTAGTGTGTAAACATAAACTTTTTCTTGAACCATTTCTTCTTGATCACTAAAGTGTCACCTAGCAGACCCTAGTGGATCATATACTTATTCTTAGGTGACAGACTGATTTCTGGTTCCTTTTTATTTCCTGCAATGCACCTGTCCTTGAGACTTGTGCTACAGCACAGAATAATAACATACTGATGTTTGAAAAAAATAGAA